CGGGCGGGCGGGAGGAGCGAGCGAGCGGCTGAGCGGCGCGCCTGCTGCCTTGGCTCCGCTTCGCGCACACCGGCCGGCGCGCCGCGCCGCGGCGGGTCTCGCCTCGCTTCTTCGCGCGCGTTGTGGCCCGCCGTTCCGCCCGCAACGGCCCCAAGCCGCCGTCAGGCGGCCGCAATGCTCAGTGCGAGTTCCAAGTGCAGTGTCCGTGTCAGTGCCTCGTGCCGTGCTGATATTCAGTGCCAGTGGGTGAACTAGTGAAGTGCGTGTGCCAGTGCAGAGAGTGTGGGAGCGAGCAGAGAGTGCGAGCCCCGGTGTCGGGCGCGTCCACGCCCCTGAGCGAGGGTCCGCGGCGCGCGTGCGGGCGGCAGAGCGGGTGCGCGCCCCATTGAATGTCTCCAAAAGCGCGGGGCGCCGCGCACCCCGCGCGGCCAGCGCCCGCTGCTGCCCGACGCTCGCGCGCCGAGCCCGGGCCCGGCGCAGCTAGGCGCCAATGCGGCCGCCCCCTCCGAGTCACGGGCCCTACCTGGATGTGGGGGCAACCCGCTTGCTGAAGGGCTCCTGTCGAGGTAGGCGGCCCAACATATGGTGCGTGGCGGGCGGGGCAACGCAGCACGAGGGCGGCGGGCGGCGGCGGCGACGCACGGCGGCTGCGACGGCGGCGGCGGTGGCCACCGCGGGACCCGCTGCCCGCTGGCTCGCCGCCGCCACCGCCGCCACAGCTCGCGCCAAGAGACGTGGAAGTGGTGCATCCGCACGGCCGCAGCGCGCCGCCCGAGCGCGAGTTTTCTCGTGTCCTCTCGCCCTCCTTGCTGTCATCCGCGGCGGCCTGCGCGCCCCTATCCCGCTCTTGAGACCACCGCGCCGCGGTGCGTTGAGTGCGAGCGACCATCTTGGCTGGGGCACTTCACCATTGCGTCGACGTCCTTGCGTCGCGCCTGTTGCGCCGCCCTCCGAGAAGCGTCTGAAAACCCGGTTGCGGGGCTCGGCGGAGGTCAAGTCCGGTTTCCGCCGGGTAGGTGGCGCGCTGCGCCGTCCGAGCAACCACCCGGCGGCGGGGCCTCGGCCAGGGGAACTCTCGATTTCCGTTCGTGAAATGGGGGCGGCGGCTCCGGTGGCTGCGAGCGCCGCAGGCTTGCGTGCTAGAAATCTCCGGCGCTCCCGCGGGAGCCCCGGTGGTTGCATCAGCTTTTGGGAGCAGTGCGCTCTCTCTGGAAGAAGCTTTCACAGACTGAGGGGAAATTTTTGGTTTTTGCTTCATAAATGTGTGTTGGGCTCATAAGGATTAACAGAATGCGGAATCGGACGTTAGCTAACGCAACCCATTTGTTAAGGGTAGACAACTTTCTTTAACCAATGGTAGGAATAGATGTCGTCCAAGAGTCCACAATTAAGCCAAATACTCTGGAATCTCAACGTGCAGTGTATTTTTTGGCAAAGACCGGTGTAGACGAAAAGAATCCCGGAAACCAAAAAAAGTAACCCTAGTATTCGTTGTTTCAAAGTGAGTGATAGAAATTTTAGTAATACGTATTATCTTTAAATTATTAAAAAGATCACAAGAGAAATTGGAATTATTTCCACTTCTTTCTCTTTTCTCCGTTGTTCCAAACGTTGACAAAACCGTTTGTGTTCTAAACTGGAACATAGATAAGTCTCACAGTTTTGTGTTGGATTACATTTGAGAGTTTGTGAAATACGTCGTGGAAAATAGATCAAAGAAGAGACTTTGACATTGCATCGTATTGCATTGCATTATTCAGTTCACAGACTGCTTCAGTCTGCCCAGATGACTGATTTCACTGGACCAAACCAAAAAACCCATTAATGGTTTATGACTACTACATGCTGTGATTTCTTCTTGAAATAAATAAAGAAATAAGCAAGCACCAAATTGAAAGATTACTAATTTGACTAATTGTTAACGTATAGCTGTAGGGAAATGCTATCTTCAGAAACGATAGGAAGGCTGGACAAAGATGTAGAGGAAAATGTTTGGAGTAGTGGAAATCTAATGTAGAACACATTGAAATGGTCATGCATAAGTAGCCCAAAGGTAAAAGAAAGGGTTCCATCTCTTTTGGCAGCTGTTATAAATAATGCGGCAAAAATTGGTAGAAATACATAGCAACGATTAAAAGCGAAATTGATTTGCCTGATGAGGAACCCGGTTCTTTTCAGAAGCACATCTTGCCCCCCACGGTAAAAGCAAACAGCCACTGAATATGGGCATGTAGCAGTAAGTAGTAAGTTATTCTTCACATTCTTCTAAAATACGATTCATAGGAATGCTAATGGAAAAAGTTAGAATTTCTCTCACAGTAATAATTTCGAATTTAAAAACAATATATTATAACATCTGACGTGTGTCGCGAAGCATGCGTGCAAACTGTAAGAGAACATTTTCGTAATACAAATAAAAAACTACAGGAATTAAGGATTAGAAAGACTTGTGCCATGAATTATGTTTAGAGTTGTAGCTGTAGTTGTTTCATGTAGGTGTTATTATACAAACCCTGTTTTTCCACCCTACGCTTGTTAACGAATTGTCAGTACTTTTTAATAAATCCACTTCAGTTTTCGTCGAGAAAGGGATCTAACGCAGAGAACTTTTTTTGAATGTAATACTACGAAACTGCAATTGGTTGAGAACTTAGACGTTTTACAAAAGATTAATGCTGTTATCTTTTGGTCGTGTTCTTAAGCTCATTCATTGAAAGTGTGAAATGCACCTAGCGATTTTTTTCGGAGTAAAAAAAAAGCATTAACTAGTTTTCAATTAATGGTAATTTTACTCAATAAACGAAATTATGTCTGTGACCAGGTGCGAATGTATGCCTTTGCAGTTCTTAAGAACATTTTGTAATACATAGCCTTGCAGTTTTATGACGAAATTATATTATTTTAAATAAATAATTAATCACGTTATGTATATTGGTTACAATAAATATTTTTTTGTCAATTGAATCTGAAAGATCTGAAGAAAATATTCAAAAAGTAATCTATAGAACTTTCGAGTATCGCAATTTTCATTTCAAAGGCAGGGTAATGGCTCCGCCCATTTGTTCTTCATTGAGGAGGTCACGGGCTTGGCAGAAATTTTTCTCACATGGCCCTCTTCTTTTCGCTCAAAATAAACTTTCAATATTATAGTGAAGTGCAGTCATGCATCACAGCGTAATTTGATTTAATTATCATAAATTTTGATAATGCAATACATATAGATAATACATTTATTAAAGTTTGCTTGAGATAATGCTTGGTGGTAACATGATTACAATTAGAATTATAGGTTGATATCTAGTTTTAATTAATTTCTAGTCATCTTCTAACTTGACTTATAGTTCATCCACACTTTCACTACACTCCACTGGCACTCTTTTTTTCTTTATATAAATAGGAACATAAATTAATCGGGACTAAATATACAAAATTTTTTTTACTGTTGTGTATTTCACTTTTGCTGTTATTGTTAATGGGGAAGGGTAATTGCAAGCGTTACGTTAATTATTTAGGAGGGTTTACAGGATAGAGAAGGCGTATTCAACATTCTTGCACATTGTGTAGTAATTTATTGTCGGCTATATAATTATGTATGCATTCTGAATTACTTGTCTATCTAGCATTGAGCCATAAACAGTATTAGTGAAGATGAAAATTATACAAAATGTTTGCTGGAAATGCTTAGACTTCTTTCGCGCATTTGTCTGTCTTCTCACTCTCAGAGTCATGGTACTAATGTTTTCTGGGAAATTAAAGTTTGGTGAATGTCAAGAACTGAGGAAATTGTAATTTTATAACTTTTGAGAATCCAAGTATAGAAAACGCGTATAGATTTTTCTATTTTATTTCTTTGAGGTCTTTCAAGCTTAATGTGAAATTCATTTGTTTCTTTGAAGTGTAATTTGTAGATAAAATTTGCACATCATTCTTGTACTTACGAGAAGGACGACGCAAATCAGATTAATTCACTCAGTTATTTGCATTTGTTTTGAAGCGGAAGTCTTAATAATATAGGTGCTGAAACGTTCTGAAAGATCGGAGATAAGTCAATCAAAGGGCATATTAGTTATTTATTAATTGGGCAATTTTCATTATCACTCAATGTTAAATCTGTAACACGACTACTAATACTACGCATTATATTGTGTGGTAGTGTTTTAAACGTTAATTTGTTTGGGGCTCCTCGAATGAAAGGTACATGGCATGGAATATGTATATTCTGCTTTCGTTATTAATGCCATCTGCTTTCCCACTTCCTGTTGCCCGGGGTACTTGTGCGTCAGTAGGTTGCTTCGGTGTGCTTCAGGGGAAGCATTGCCTCTAGAAGCTAGAGTAATGCCAATGCAGCGGTATAATGGGTGCTTTTGCTCTGCTTGGATTACCTTCCACATAGTGTCACCAGACGAATACACCCTCCCCCTACCCCAACCACCATAAAACCAAACCGCACCCCCCCACTTTTGGGATTATCTTCATAGCGCACTTCATTGGAGTATAATTTTCATGGGGGCGGTGAATTGCTTTTTGGTGTGAAATGGCAAAACAAGAATTACTACGTATCTAATTTTTAAAGCTAGTAGTAACGATATGGCACGAAGTGATAACTAAGATTTGCAAAGATGTTATTCGCAATTTTCTTATAGAAATAAAAAAGAAGAAATCGTCATTTATAACAAAACATGAACTATACAAACTAAAATGAACCTGCAAGAAGTCATTTCTTACTACATGCTTTATCTTTTAAGTCTCGAAGTCATAGTGAGGATCAAAGGCGAGGAGAGAATTTGTTGATTTTACTTTACCTAAGTAAATAGTTTTGTTAAGGGGCATGCTGTATTTTTATCCTGACGGATAGGCAAACTAAATTAACATCAGATAAGGTTTGCCTACAGAAAAAAAATCTCCTACCCTTAAAAAGGAGCAATTTGACGTACTGCAATCAAGGTACCTCACTTCTACACCTCTTTTCTTTCCCGTGGCATTGTATGTGTATAGACGGAATGCGCGCGAAGAGGGTTGCAAGTGAGAATGTTTAAGTGCGCGCGAAAGAAACTGCGGCTGTTTGGGGCGCGCGCTCAGCGGTGCCTGGCCATTTGGGCCATTGAGGGCAGCGGTCGCCGCGCCGGGAGAACCGCGGTCCCAGGGAGGCAATCGAACATAGCCGGGGCATGGGCGTCACGTGCGAGGGGGCGGCGGGGGGCGCGCACGGGGCTGGGGCGGGAAATACCGCTCCCGACTGCCGTCCCGTTCCGCGTTATTCCATTATTCGCACTGGGAGCTCGGGCGGCGGCGACAAACAACGTGCCGGTGCAACGGCATTGTAGCTCGTGACGAGCGCGGCGTGCGGTGGTAATTCTTATGGGTAGAAAACTCCGTAGAATTCTCGGTTAGTTCCATTCAGAGTGAAAATTGCGCGTGTGTGTTCTATGCATTTTGGAATAATAAAGTTTTTGTGAATGGTGTGTGCTCTGTGGTTGGTCATCGTATCGGTTTGTCTCGTGTCACATGAATGAAAAGGAATAGGTTCTCATGATGAAACATCAACATCTCCGTAGAACCCGTTTATGGAGGAAGGAGAGTTAACAGCTGCAGTGGAAACAGGCAAGTAAGTCATGGATAATGAAACTGAACGTCATTGAAAAACTTATAATGAAGTTGGGAAATTCCCGGCAATCGGTCTCATGCAGTGTCAATGTTATTACTTGTTCAGCTTAGATAACGTTTTATGTTCTTAAATGAACGACCATATGTTAAGACTAATTATGTGTATGGTGATGTGTCTTTGAAAAGTTAGCAAAATGCAAATAATAGACAGACTTAACGAGTTATAAAGAAGAGCTAGAAGTTGAATTACCTTGAATTAAGAATAATCGGGGAAATTTTGAATCTGTGGCACCTTAAGATTTTCATTTTACGAATGACACTCACAGGGAAGTAATTTGGGTGATGGACGTTTGGTTGGGAAGTAGGGAATTGGACTTGCAGTGTACAATGAAAATTTTTAAGCGCCGCGCGAAATGCATTCTTTGTGTGGGGGAACGCAGTACGGATAACTGAATTTTAGGGCTGAGGTGCGGCTCTGAAAGGCGACGGGTAATCAAACAACTTAAAAGTACTTCTGTGCAAAACTCACGGTTAGGAGACCAGAGAGACTCTTATTTGCCTATTTACATCTTTATTGTTGTGACTATGCCCCACGAATAATGCAAAGAGGTTTAAAGGAATTGATTAAATCAGTTACAACTAAAAATTTTTTGGCGGCGTGCATGGTGGCTCACTGCACCGGCTCCTCTGGAAGCTGGCTTCTGCCTGACTGCTTCTCTGGGGGCGCCGCCCTGCGCGGGGACGCCTCTGCGAGTACCGCAAGGGAGGGCGATCGAAAGGCGGGGGGTGGGGGGTGAGGCTCGCGTGCGCGGCGGTGAAAGAGCGCGGGAGAAGGCCATGCTTGGCGCGCGGCGCCGCCCCGGCCCGGGCCCCGCCACGGCCGGCTCCACGCCGGCTTCCTCCCCGGCCCGTTTCGCTCTCCCGCAAGCACGGCACCGCTTCTCTCGCCCCGCGCTTCGCGCCGGGCAGACGGTGAAAGCGGACGCGGCTTGGCCCCTGCCTCTGCCCAGGTGCCACAGCCGCAGCTGGAGCCGTGTCCCAACTCCGGCGTAACACAGCTCTTGCCCCGGAGCAAAAGGGACGCATTTCGGGGTCCTTGCCCAATGGCGACACGGGCTCTCGGGTGGGGCCAGTTGCCTTGTTAAATTTTCAATAGGTGCTCTAGTTAGCTTCCCCTTCTTTGTAAGGATTTCGCACCGGCTTTTCCAAACGTTTGAGGCTTTCTTACAAGAACTCAAGAAGTCCCAATTCCTTCTTTTGAGATAGTTCTCCAGTTAATCCATACAACTGGCGCTATCTGCTAGGGATTTTCTTTTACAAAGGGCGCAAATAATTGAAAGATACAGGCGGGGAAAAATCATAAATTTATTACTACGCACGCTATGCTCTGGAGTTTTTTTGGTACTCCTAAAAATCTCGAAATTGGGACGTTTGGTTATAGAAGAAGGTTAAAGTTGAAATTGTATGATGTGGAACATGTCGTATGCTATTACTGTAATACATTTTTTTTCAATTACTTACTATAACGCCCCGGCTGTGTAAGAAGGTTTAACAGAACCGGGTGCTGTGTAGGTTTGCTCCAGTCGAATTAAATTGTGCATAATTTATTTTTGTTCCTTGCTATCAGTTTTTCAATGTATTGTATTTAAGCCTAACCTTACAGCTTTTTGCTATTTAAATATTTGGCTGTAGTTCTGCTATGCTGTCGCGAAAACAGTTCATTTTGGATACACTGTCTTCGGAATAGTCTGACCATAATTGCATCGGGATTATTTTTAAAATCTGCTGGGGTCAGGAAAGTGTAAAGTTGTGGAAAACAAAGAAAAACTGAATAATTAATTACGAAGAAGGATTACTCTCTTTACTTTTTTTACTTTCTCATGATAAATCTTGATTGAGAATGCTATGGAGACGTGTTTATTTATTGAATCGTAATAACATAGTCGTTGACCTTATTTAAAAGTTTATGATTTATGGAATTTCAGAACTAATCAGGAATTCTTACCTTAACATATAAATAAACACACATTAAGTTTTCTAATTTGACATATTTTTTTAACAATATTATGGTGAAATTATGTTGGTGTTATCTTACATCACATTGATTCTTATGGGGTCAGAACAGTGCTTTTAAATGGTGTTTCTGGTATAGGGTACATTTGATATTTTCGGTATTGGGGAATACCCTTTTTATAACCAATCCAATCTTGTCAGTGATATCTGCATACACACTGTACACATACATACACACATACATATTAACACATACGTATATACACAGTCACGCAGATAGTCGAACCGATAGTTCAATGATTTATAGAGTTTTCAAAACAAAACAAAACTTTGGCAGTAACTGCACGGCCGTTCTATTTAATTCGATTTATAGATTTATACGTAGAAGAAGCTCTTATCCTTCAGCTTCTATTTTCTTCACGGAAAAGCGAAATGCAAAAAAGAGTGACTTACAGGGTTTTAAAAATGTCTGGGATTCAATTGTTTCTAGAGATTCGTATTTCAACGCGAAACGTGGTAACTTTCACTTTGTTTGACATGTTACAGATTTATCTTGTTTTTTTATTTTTCATTACATGACTATGCGTAAGTACTCGGTAGAGAAGTAGTTGCATTCTGAGTAGATTCTAAGTTTCACACGCCATTGGAGTCGCCCATCATCTACCTATGTGTCAAATAAACATTAAAATTGAGTCATGGAGGAGTTGGTCACCAAGACTGTGTACTTTCATTTATTCTACGAACATACGTTTCTTTAATTAAACTGTGCAATTACCTGATTAAAAATCAGTTTAGAGACTTTTTTTGGATTTGGAGCACATTTTTTTACAGTTTTAATTATGATGGTTTGGGGTAATTTAGGTAACCAAGGGGGGTAATGCAGTGTATTCATAATATACACAAAATTATATTATCATGTTTTTTATCCATTTGGTAGCTGAATGTCCAACGTACTGATTCCATTCTTTCCATTGTTAGACATTTTCATTCAAGCAATTAATAGATAATTCTTGGGGGAGGATGGGAGAGTGACAATAATTTTGACTAGTAAAAAATTGTGAAGATTGGTGTTTCTGTAGCGCTGTTTCTGCAGCTAATTGTTATGTATTTAGTTTTTTACGTAATGACCTCATCGCGCACTTTCTTGTCAAGCTACGTTATGGTATATACGTTTTGTCGCTGTGTGTTCTGTGTTTCATCCTTTGTCAAATTTTTAAGGCAAAGTTTTTTTAAAACTATGCCGAGTAAATTTGACTTCTTAGACTTCGCATTTTGACTTAATTCATGATTAGTTGTTTCTTAACCAGTTTCTTATAAGAATATTGATGTGTGAAAATTGTACGATGGGGATGGGTGTTGCGCGGAAGGGGCAGGGCAGGGCAGGTCAGTAACAGGTTTAGGGAAATTGAGTCGGTCTCGTGTTATTTTCTTATTCTTTCGCCCCTGCGCCACTACCCTGGGCGACCGTAACAAGGAGCTGTCCGTGCTTCAAATATGGTTAGAGTGCTCGCTGGGCGATTGTAGGTTCTTCGGCGCCGCTCTGCTTGCCCGAAGGGAAGGCGAGCCGACCGCCCATTGGCGGCGGACGCTCGTGCTATTGCGGGTTGCCCTACCGGGGGCGTGCAGCGAGATGCAAAACATAAAAAGGGCGCATGTTGGTAGTTGTGTCCTGTCACTGTTATGGGGTATACTCAAAATGAGTGAATGAGAAATTGCTTCGCATAGTGCGATTTGTTTTTCCTTTGCCATTCAGGACTTTCCTTAATTGAATCTTTCCTGATCGATTGTTTGAATCTCTGGACGGAGGAGATTTGAAAGAATGGTTTTAATTTGTACTTCTGATAAATGAAACACGTAGATATATGGTAAAGTTCAATTTTCTGAAAGCCATTGGAAATGGCGAAACTTTTCTTCGAATTGTCCTACTCCTTTACTGCTGCTAGAGATTTCTTTCTAATTTTCTAAGGCAGGGCAACCAAGAAGACAGTGTGCTAGGAAGTCTCCGCAGTGGGCCATGGCTAGTGAGAGTGCTTAGGCTGCGGGAGAGAAAATTAGTTGGTAGGCACGAACTTGGGCAGGTTTATTAACAAATGACAGTAAAAATTGGCGTACTGCACAATCATAACAGATTCTGAAGTGTTTCACTCGTTTCCAGTGGTCTGGTTGCTATTAAATAAATGCTATTGAAAAATGTGCTTATTCGACTCGATGCGGAGA